CTACATTTTAAAAGCAAATATGGGACAACTAAATGTCATAATGTGTTCATAACCAGTGGTGCACTGAAGGTATTTTGTACTAGTTTGCAAGAGCAGATTTTTAGATTTTCAAGGATTCTATGAGTCAGTTGTTAAGCACACAGCCGATATTAAAAAAAAAAGTTATATAAGTTTACAATTCAATAAATCATGTTGAAAACAAGGGCAATATATCCTCAAGGTTCATAATTTCTTAATTTTTTAGCTTTTCCAACTTGTGGAAATAATTGGAACAAAACATAACAAAGGCCATATAATACAATTGTTATTAAAAAAAAAATAAGTTATATAAGTTTACAATTCAATACATCATGTTGAAAACAAGGGGAATAAATCCTCAAGGTTCATAATTTCTTAATTATTTAGCTTTTCCAACTTGTGGAAATAAGTGGAACAAAACATAACAAAGGCCATATAATACAAATCCACAGCTAACATCTTACTCAACATGGCAAAGCAAAAATTATAATTCTTAAATCAGGAACAAACAGTGAAGTCCACTTTTACTGCTCTTATTCAGTATAGTATTAGAAGTCCTAGCCACAGTACTCAGACAAGAAGAAATAAAGAGCATCCAAATTAGAAAGGAAGAAGTAAAATTGTCTTTATTTGCAGATGACATGATACAGTATATAGAGAACCCTAAAGATTCCACCAAAGCACTATTAAAACTAATAAATGAATTCAGCAAAGCAGCAGGATACAAAATATTCAGAAATTGGTTTCATTTTTTATATACCAATAATAAACTAATAGAAAAAAGATAAAATATCTAAGAATAAATTTAATCCAGGAGGTAAAAGCCTTGTATTTGGAAAATTCCTAGGACACTGAAGAAAAAAATTGAAGATGATACAAATATATGAATGAATATGTCATGCTCATGGATAGGAAGAATTAACATTATTAAAATGTCCATATTACCTAAAGCAATCTATAGATTCAATGCAATTTCTATCAAGATACCCATGGTGTATTTCAGAGAACTAGGATAAAACTTCCAAAAATATATATGGATCCACAAAAGATTTCAAATAGCTGTAGCAGGGGTCCTCAAACTTTTTAAACAGGGGGCCCATTCACTGTCCCTCAGGCCATTGGAGAGCTGGACTATAGTTTAAAAAAAAAAACTATGAACAAATTCCTATGCACACTGCACATATCTTATTTTGAAGTAAAAAAAACAAAACTGGAACAAATAGAATATTTGTATTTGCATGTGGCCCGCGGGCCATAGTTTGAGGACCCCTGAGCTATAGCAACCTGAGAAAGAAGCGCAAAGTTAGAGGTATCTTGCCACCTGATATCAAACTATACTATAAAGGCCATAATAGGCAAAACAGCATCATACTGGCATGTAAACAGACAATGGAACAGAATAGAGAGCCACAGAATAAACTGATGCCTAAATGGTCAATTAATATGTGTCAAAGAAGACAAGAGCATACAATAGGGTAAAGATGATTTCTTCAATAAATGGTGCTGGGGAAATTGAACAGATACATGCAAAAAGTTGAAATTAGACCACTCTCTTAAACCATATACTAGAATAAACTAAAAATGGATTAAAGACTTAAAAAATGTAGGACCTGAAATCATAAAACTCCTAGAAGAAAACATAAGCAGTAAACTCTGATATTTCTCTTAGCAATATGTTTTTTTTCCTTGGGCATAGGACATAAGATTAAAAATAAATAAATGTAACTTCATCTGTGTAAAATGTTTTTACGCAGCAAAGGAAACCATCAACTAAATGAAAAGACTACCTCCTGAATGGGAGAACATATTCACCGAATGATACATCTGATAAGGGGTTAATATACAAAATTTATAAAGAACTCACACAATTCAACATACAGAAACAACCAAACAATGCAATTAAAAAAATAGACAGAGGATCAGAATAGACACTTCTTCAAAGAGGACATACAGAATGCCAAGAGACCGGCAAGAAAACGTTCAGCATCACTAACTGTCAGAGTGATTTTTTAACTAAAAATCACAATGAGGTATCACTTTACACCTCTCAGAATGGCGACGTTCGGCATCACTAACTGTCAGAGAAATGCAACTAAAAATCACAATGAGATATCACTTTACACCTCTCAGAATGGCTATTATCGATAAATCAACAAACAATTGTTGGCTATGTTGGATCCATTTGTTTTAGCCTAGGAAATGATACTGCCCCATGAATAGTTTGATATTCTGAAGTTATCTTGAAAGATATATTTAGACCCAAAAGGCTTGCTGATTTATAAAGACATGAATAGCCTTTTAGGAGACAGCCTAGGAAATGGTACTGCCCCATGAATAGTTATATTCTGAAGTTATCTTGAAAGATGTATTTAGACCCAAAAGGCTTGATGATTTATAAAGACATGAATAGCCTTTTAGGAGAGATTATAGCGATAGAATCTTCCATCTGACCCAGGATCTACTAATACCATGTTCACTCACAACTTACCGCAAGATGCCATTTCATCTGTCTTATCACCACAGTCATCTTCCCTGTCACACAGCCATGCTCTGGGAATGCAGCGCCCGTTGCCACAAGAAAACTGGTCCACCTGGCATGTTCTGGCTATAATGGTCAATTAATTTGCAAAGAATAAATTTAGAGAAGTTTTAAACAACATTAAAGATACATCATTCAATATCCCTTTCACATATACTAGTAAGATATTTCATAGCCATATTAGATAAAATATTTTGAAAGTAAATTTTTATTTAATTTTTGACAAGGCTAGCTTGCTTGTCTTCTCTAAAGTTCACATGCTTATGAATATTTGGTTGCATTTACTTTCAAAGATGGATTTTTTTTGACTCGCTTTTCAGTACAGTTATATAAAAATGTATAATCTTTTAATCAAAGTACTAGTATATTAATGAACTGTGCTTTGGGCTTTCTTGAGGGTTTCAGTGAACACACACATGGAACTTTGCTTTCTACGTTTGCCTAAGGCAGGTATTTAAAACTATTCCATGAAGAGGTTATGTTCTACAAGGAGTTTGATCACCCTTTTCTCCTACAATCAGGTCAGCGTTTGAAAGCACAAAAGCCTAGATAGTGTCCCTCTTTCCCAAGGTCTTAGGTTGTTCCATTAAGGATTTGATTTGCTTTGGCTTTTTTTTTGTCCCTCTAAGCCACAAATATACTAGTATCTTTCTGATTACCAGTATCTCATCCATTATTTCTTTTTATTGGACCAGAGAAAACAGATGAAAATGTTGGGAAGCATGTACTTAAACTTATTAGTATTGGGGTTAGATGAAGACAGGACAGATGAGGAGCAATTCAGTTATGGGGCTTTGTGGCTATGATGAGAGAACATTATTTAGATTACATGTACATTTCCTCTTGTTTCCTGGGCTGCAGGATCATAAGGATGTGTTTCTTCCTCTCCACAACACAGTGTCAACTTAGGTACTAATTATTGGTATAAAATAGAGTGGCTCAAAGACAAGTCATCCAAACACACTAACATGGGTTTCTAAAATCTGGTTTTCAGAGATCATTTAAAATAATTTCTTAAAGTCATACCCTAGTTATTTCCTTTTAAGCAAAGTATACCTGCAATCTAGAGATGTATATCCTTTGTTAGTGAATACTTTAAAGATTCCTAGAGAAAAACAAATGAAAAAAAAATTACTGGCTTGATTTGATATATTGGATTGGATATACCATTTCTGTTCTCAGTGTCTATATGTAGGAATATCAGAAAATTTATTATATTATGTATATTTTCTTTGCTTATGTGGATAAGGGTCCTGAATCAAATATTTGATATAATATCAGATTTTTCCCTTTTTACATATTGATTGCTTTATACTAATAAATTTTCAGTATCCCAACAAGCATGTATGCTTCTGAAGTTTGCAATGTTGAATTTCAAGTGGGGTTAAATATTTCTATGTTGTCTCATTTGGCCAATTCTACAGATCTTCTATTAAATGATTCCAACATTTAGATTAAATCAACAAAGTCCCTAGATTATTTTAATTTAAATATGCCTACTTGAAAAAAACACATGTATATATTTGTCTTAGCTTAGAGAAAAAGGAAGATGTTGGCATTAGTTTACTTGGTGGTAAGGGGAGGGCATAGAGGTATGAAAAAGATCAAAAATGTTTTACACATCTTTGTATTGTTCTCTGGTTGCAGTAGATACTTTTTAACTTTTTAGTGTTAAGATAAATGTAATGGGAGCTCCCTCCTCTCAAGTCCTTTTCTCTTCCCTCTTTCCTCCTTCCTCCCATTGTTCCCACTACTTCCCTTCCCTCTTTTATTTCTTCCTCTCTCCCTCCCTACCTCTTTTTTGCTTGCTCTCTCCACTTTTTCTTTCCTACATCTCTATTTTGCTTTTTAATCCCCTACCTATTTCATTTTTAATTATTTATTGTTTTCATGCTTTAAAGAAAAATATATTATCAGATTTTATCTCTATTAAATTCTAATTGATCCATGGTAAGAATATATTAAACTTTCTAATGCAACCTTCTTTTATTTGAGGATCTTATGCCCCTGTAATCTCTCCCGGTCCTTCAGGTTTAATTCTGGCAAACCTTTCTTTTGTCAGGAATGCTATGGGGATGAGAAAGGACAATGAAGAAGAATTCCGAAGAGCCTGGTGTCACCTCATTAACGCCGAAGCTTGAAAAACTGCTATAAACTATTACTGCAGAGTACTTACTGGCTTATCATTGAAGGATCCTGTGCCTGGAAAATATATGAATTCATTGTCTGCTCTAATCTCTGAGAAAATGAGCTGTTTAGTTTACTGAGAAAAGTGAACTGATTTCAGATGAGAAAGATGTTTCATTGCATAAATCTGCAAGTACTGTCTGCCTTTATGATATAATCACATTGACTAAATTAGCACTTTCTAACCACTTGATTTGTAACAAGAAGACACAACCTGCACTTTTCTGTTCTTGTTCCCATCAGATCTAAGTTAGTTTGGAGGTGAGATTAGCAGGGCTGCCCCAGAAGACTCTAATTTTGCGGCAAATGCTGCTCTAATGAAGAGGAAATTTACACCTCCTCAGCGGAATTGTTTATCTAGCAGAGAACCAGAAATTCATTGTCACAACGAGAATTTTGTCTCCTCATCACTAATTATGCTTCTTATGCAGCCATGTAGCAGTGAGAAACCCCACAATGCAAAGAAGCAATAAGGAGGGAGGAGAACAGAATTTAACACATTATTCTTAATCCTTACCTTTGCTGTATTTTAATCAGATCATTCTGTTTAAAAAAAACCCGTTATATCAAAATGCTCTGTTTATCTCATATAACAAAGTCTGATTTTTTACTACATCAGATTTTCTTAATGCAACTACATCTGTCCAGTTTTAATTCATTCAAAATTTGAGGTGGATGTAAGGAGAAC